CAGATATTTGGGGCTTTCTCTTACATAGGTGCCTATTACCCCCCACCCTCTGTCCTGATTTTTCACACTTGCTATCTGGTCACCCTACCTGGGGGTGGCGCGATACCCCGGCTCCTGCCGGCTACACGGGACTCCAGCAAGCCCTGGTTAAAGTGCTGGAGTGTTATTATTACAGTCCTGGGCTGACCCAGCAGGGGGTGCTGTGGGGAGCGGGGCGGGAGCTCTGGCTGTGGGATACTCAGGGAGGGAGGGAGGACGGATTCCCTGCTAAGAGGGTTGAACTGGGACTCGGGGGTCTGCCTGGGGGATTCTGGCCACGTCCCTGTGGGGGGGGGGCAGGGCCCCACGATCATGTCTCTCTGGGCAGAGTCACGGCAGCTCTTCGCCGGCGGGAGGGTTTGAAGGATTCTCCCTCCATTCCGGCCTGGCTGGTGTTTGAGCAGCAGGGAGGGTCTTGGGGGCTCCTTGTCCCTGCATCTGATGCTGCAGCAGGCTGCCGGTATGTGTGAACGTACGTGTCTGTACCTCGGTGCCCGTGCATGAGTGTGCAGCACACGTGTGTGCCTGTGTGTGGGTGTGCGTGCACCGGTATGTACATCTGTACTTGTTCACAGACGTGAGCACACATCTGCACATTTGTGTGCATGCCGGAGTGTGTGTGCATGTGAACACTAGCGTGTGCGGTGTGTGTGCCTGGCGTGTGGGTAATTATCCTGCTAAGGCACTATGGGAACTCGGGGGACAATTGAGGGTCCACACCCAGCCCAGCATGGATGCTGGGGCTGTGGCCTTGGCGTGGGGCTGTGGCGCCCCCTAGTGGCTGAGGCTGTGCAGTGCCGCTCTGTGGGCACAAAGGTTTGCTGGGGGTGGGGGAAGGTGTTGGGGGGCTGGACTGGCCTTGGGGCTCAGGTCCCCTGTGCTCCAGTCTAGCCCACGATAGTGGAGACTAAAAATGGCTGGCAGGCATCGTATGAAATGAGTTTGGCCCTGCTTCCAAGCTGGGCATCAGGACTCCTGGGTTCCGTCCCAGCTCTGGGATGAGGGGAGTGGGCTCTAGAGGTCAGAGTGGGTGCTGGGAGCCAGGACTCCTGGGTTCTATTCCTAGCTCTGCTCCCGCACCAATGGACCATCTCAGAAGAAAGGCCTCCAAGGGGCCAAAGCCCTTCACCCTGGGTGGGGTGGGGTGTGTCCCAGCAAGGCTGGGGCTGCCTGGGAACAGGCCCTGTTGCTGCCCCTGTTATAAAGACCCCGAATAGCCAACACGTCCCCTCTCAGGGCAGCAGGGCCAGCTCCAGGCACCAGCCTACCAAGCATGTGTTTGGGGCGGCACCTGAAGGGGGGCGGCGCTCCGGCCCGAGAGCGGGGCCGCGACTGGGCTTGCCGCCCTCCTCCCGGCGCTCCGGCCGGCCGGGGAGAGAGGGCCCGCAGCCCGGCTTGCCGCCCTCCTCCTGGCGCTCCAGCCGGTCGGGGAGAGCGGGCCTGTGGCCGGGCTTGCTGCCCTCCT